TACACCACTTTTCTCCGACAGCGAGGCTGCTATTGGCATGGCCAATAATCCTATCCTGAATGGGCTCAACAAGCACATGAAGATTAAGTGGCACTGGGTGAGGCAGATGGTGAAGGAGGGAGCCGTTGAGCTTCACCATGTGAAGGCTAGCAAGCAGGCGGCAGATTTTCTCACCAAAAGACTTCCTGAGAGTGCACATTGGAAGTGTGCTAAGTTGTGTGGCATGGCATTGCACTAGTGCAGGCAGCAGTGTAATGAGTGCATGTGTGATTGTGTGTGCATGCAGTCCGTTAGTCTGAGGGGAAGTTTGTTGGGTGCACGTTATTCAGAGTGCATGTCATCCTAACGTCCTGCCGAGTGCTCGTGCTATTTGTGCTTGCATGATTTGCATGAGCGTATGTCATTATGAATGGCTGTTGGATATTACCATCTCTGTGTTTTTCTCCAAGTCTACATGCTTGATCATGCAGGAGAAATCCAGAGCTTTCGAACGATACCAAGATCGCCTTATTCCGACCAAGATCGCCCAAGTTACAAGATTTCCAAGCTTTGGGAATTCTATCTCATTTTGAGATGTTATCTACAGTGGGCGATTATTGGGACATGACTATAAAGGGATCTTTGGTTGGGTGGTTAGGAAGGCAACTTTGACTTTTGGATTGGGGTGGCTAGAAGTTTCTAGCATGGGTTGCAAATGTTGCAACACCGAGGTAAAATCCAACTAGATTGGATTTTGCATGTGACACCTCAAGGACCTCATGATGAGGGTTGCATCCTTGCTGCTAGGAAGATTTCTACCATCTTTCCCTAGCTCTTGGAGAACCGCTTCCCTCTCATGGTTCTCTTGGAGGCCCCAACTCCAACTTCCTATGCCCTAATGCTTGTACTTCCTCTACCATTCTAGTCATGCGGCTGCTGGACGTTTTCAAATGGTTCTCACTCTCTAGACCATCTTAACGACTGATTCAACTTGGAGATGGTAGCTAAGCCTAAGGCGCAACTTCCCACCGAGCGGATTTGCTTTTAGTGGAGTATTGAGTTCGTCGTAAGCTCTCAAAGTGACGGATCCTGAACAACAATGCGACGGTGGCACGATACAGAATCCTCACGTGTGTCGGGGATGAGGCCTGGGTTCCAATGAGAAGGTTGCTTTAAGTGGAAGCCACCAGTGGACATGCTGTGTGTTGTTGCGTGCATGACAATAGCTCACGTTCCCAAAGCCCACAGTATCAAGTTAGGTGCTAGCCCACAGGGAAGGTCCAAAGGGAGTCCCCAACTAAGGAAACCCCAACCAAGGAAACCCCATAAGCACATCCACTCCCCTCCCTATAGCAACCTAACTTTGAACCTTGTCATTTTCCCTGGTTTGGCTTCTCCCAACCACTTGGCAGCATCTACAGTGATGGGGACGAATTTCTCAACCCCCAAAAGTCTGTACTCCATATAGAGTCACTCCACAAGTTCCCATAGTCGTCGCAACCAAATATGAAAAGCATACAAACTTCGAACGTTCGTAACTTTCTCGATCGTGCTCCGATTGAAGCGATTCTTGGTTTGACGGAAAGTTCTTGACCAGAGGAGTCATCTCAGATATCTGCGCAGACAAAATAACATTCACATACTCTAAAAAAATCCAAACCACACCGAATACAAAGTTCGTGCACACGCTCACACCACGCATGCAACGCACGAACATGAGATGTGAGGCAGACAGACGTGAATACATATGATTGCATCACACAACAAACTCCCCCTCTGGCTGCCTACCATAATTACACATGCCTCAGATCATGCATGCACAATCAATGCACACTCATCCCAGCGAGATTTAGTGCTCAGGTTCTGCCAGGCGCTTGGTGAGAATGCCAGCCGCTTGCTGCTGGGTCTTCACAATCTCTAGCCGCACCTCCTTGTCCAGGAGCCTGCTCACCCAATGCCACTTTGCCCTGATGTGCTTTGTCAGGCCATAAAGACAAGAATTCTTCGCAAGCTTCACTGTCGTATCATTGTCACAAAACATCACCTTCGGCTCCCTCTGGCACACTCCGATCTCCACCAACAAACGCCTCAGCCACACCACCTCCTTGGCCCCATGATAAAGGGCCATGTACTCCGTCTCACACGAGGACAGCCCCACCTTGTTCTGCTTCTTGCTGCGCCAGCTCACAGCACCACCTCCAAAAAGGCACACATAGCCTCCTATGCTGGTGTCATCCGTCTCCACAGAGTTGAAGCTAGCGTCAGTGTAGCAGGTCAAGAGCATCTCCCCCTTGCTCAAATCTGCTGCACCCCTTTGCAGCCTCTGTTGTACAGCACTGTACTCCAAGCCCACCGATGCTGTAGCGCTCACATAGCGGACCAACCACTTGGCCGCTTCCAGCTGCTCATGACTACGGCGTGAAACCACACTGGCAAGCCTGGATGTTGCAAAGGCAGTGTCAAGCCGCGTGTGGTTAACCGCATAGTTAAGCGCCCCAAATATGGAGTGAAACAGCTTCCTGTCACTCTCGCCTACCACCTCCTCATCAGCACAAGGCTCCACAGTGAACCCCGAAGGCAGTGGGGTTGCTGGCTTTCCTCCATCTTGTAGCCCATACTTCTCAGCCAGCCCCTCACAGTACTTTCTCTGGTGCAACCTCAACACTCCCTTGTCAAGGTCTCTCTCCACATGCATCCCAAGGTAATACTCACATCTCCCATCTTCGAGCACTTGAACTGCATCCCCAGCATCTCCTCCACATGGTCAATCATTGCTGATGACTCAGAGAAGAGCAGGATGTCGTCCACGTACAAAATGGCATCAGGAACTGCTTCTTCTCTTGCAGCAGGAAAATGTTGTGATCGCGCTCGCTTTCTTGAATCCCCTGGCGAGCAGTGTCTTCTCCAGCTTGTGGTACCATGCACAAGGAGCGTGCTTCATGCCATAGATGGCCTTCTTCAGCCTGCACACCTTGCCGCTCCCCATCCAACCCCTCAGGCTGCATTCTCAAGGATGATCTCATTGAGGAAAGCAGTAATTTCCATCTGTTTGATCTTCCATCCGCGGTTTGCATGCCGTTCCCAACATCACCCTCAGTATTTTCCCTTTCCCCACAGAAGCATAGAGCTCGTCGAAGTCCTTTCCCTTTGTCAGCTGGAACCCCTTTGCCACAAGCCTTGACTTGTCGTGGGTCAGCTCCCCATCGGATCCATACTTGTGCCTGAAGATCAGCTTGGAAGAAATGGCCTTCTTCCCAGGAAGCAGATCACACAGCTCCCACGTCTCATTCTCCAGCAGAGAGTCATACTCCTTTCTGCTTTCACTTTTCAGCATCGCGTCCACTCAATGCCTCGGCTACATCTTGGGCTCAGGAACGGCTTCCTAGTAGCAGTGTGTTATCTCTTCCTCATCATACTGCTCAGCCACACTCCAAGCCCGTACCACCTTCGGCTTTCGAAAACTCTGATAGGTCAGCCTGTTAGGAGGGCGCACATCCCTCCTAGGATGGTCATGTGGACGTTGGTCACGTGGTGGAGCATCTTGCTAACGCTGCTGCTGCTGCTCCTCCACCTCAGGTTCTCCCCCATCCTCAATCACCCCAGAGATCTCCTTTTCTGAGACAGTGACCTGCACTTGCCTCGAAGGCCGTGTAGTACGAAGTTTCTGCTGCTGCTGCTTCCATTCCTTCTAGTACAAGGACTCAAGGAACTTCACATCCCTTGACACAGTTAGTTGCTGGCTGGTCAAGTCCCATATCAACCAGCCCTTGTGATCCTTAGCAAGCCCCAAGTGCACAGCCCATCTCCCAGAAGCTTCCAGCTTTCCCCTTTTCTCCGTAGGCACATGAAACACCACCATGCAGCCATAGACTCTTAGCACGTTGACTGCAGGTGCACTCCCATACCACTTGGTGTAGGGGACCCACTGCTTGTCCCCCACATTCGCGAGCACCCTGTTCTTCACAAGGGCAACCTGCCGCAGAGCAATCACCCAAAACGGATCCGGCAACCCTGCACGCCCAAGGAGAGAGCAATTTGAATCACACAGAAAGATGAAGTATTTTTCGGGTTATGAATTTCGGCGCACCAGGGGGTATGCTGCCATAGAAACTTAACTCAATCACAATTGTTCTCACACAGAGAGTTAGAGTAGCAATGAACCAGGTAGAAGGGGAAGAGGAGGACGAGAGGGAAGGTCCTAAGGGAGTCCCCAACCAAGGAAACCCCATAAGCACATCAACCCACCTCCCTTTTGCAACCCAACTTTGACCCTTGTCATTTTCCCAACCTCCCAAATCCACCTCACTCAAGTTGGCCACACCTGCTAACCTGGTTTGGCTTCTCCCAACCACTTGGCAGCATCTACAGTGATGGGGACGAATTTCCCAACACCCAAAAGTCTGTACCCCATATAGAGTCACTCCACAAGTTCCCATAGTCGTCGCAACCAAATATGAAAAGCATACGAACTTCAAACGTCCGTAACTTTCTCGTTCGTGCTCCGATTGAAGCGATTCTTGGTTCGACGAAAAGTTCTTGAGCAGAAGAGTCATCTCAGGTATCTGCTCGGACAACATAACATTCACATACTCTCAGAAAATCCAAACCACACGAAACACAAATTTCGTGCACACGCTCACACCACGCATGCAACTCACGAACATATGATGGGAGGCAGACAGACGTAAATGCATATGATTGCATCACACAACACCCCTTGGCCCTGATTTTGAGGTACGAGGCTTGGACGGGATCTAGATGTGGGCCCACGTGGCCTTTTTTTGCTACCCGCCACAATTTGAGTGGTGGCCTTAACGTTTTTATCTTCCACCACCTCGCCACACTTAATTTTTAAAGCCATGTTGGCTACTTCAAAACCGCGCTGATCCGCGGTAAATAGAAAATGAATCTTTTCTTCAGCCTCGTCGATGATGTTCTAAAGGTAATCAGCAAGTCGCTCGCCACCGTGGGTAGGCAAAATCGACAATGCATGACGAGTGATGGCTTTAATGCGTTCAAAGCTAAAGAGTTGGGTACGAATGCCGTTGCTTTTGACGAGTGAGGAGCGTAACTGAGGATGTGTAGGAGGTATGGGGGCAAGAATAAGGGATGGAGGATTCGCCTTGAGACGAGGGGTATTACCTTCGTCGAGATTCTCTATGTTTTCGTGGTCGTCGTTGTCGCCTTCGGGATTGAGAGGAGGAGGGGGAGCACGGGGACGGGCTGTTGCTGCTGCAGCAGCTGGACGAACAAGATCAGTTGTTGCCCTCAGCAGGCACAGTACTAGCGAGAGCAGACTCACTAGCACCTAGAGCTGCAGCCTCTTACCTGGGTCGGGCGGCACACACAGGTTACAGTCGCGTCATAGTCAAGAGCGAAGATATCCGCATCCCGCCTAAGCGGGGGAGCTCTGCTGCGTCAGGAAACTGCGCGCGCCAGGCGTCGTCAAGACGGGAGAAGTAGCAGTACTCTGAGTGACCAACCTTCCCACATGGCTGACCAGCACGGTTACCTGTGCGAATGAAGTACGAGTAGCGAACACTACCCTCAGACGCCCCACGCTGACCGTACCACTCACGAAGCTGCTGGGGCGTAGGGGTCTCGTGCGGACGCTTCTGCTGTTGCCTCTGGCCACCGCCAGAACCTCCCCTCTGAACGGCTCCACCCCGACTGCCACCACTGCCGCCGACACCACTCCCACTGCCGCCACCACCGCCGACACCACTCCCACTGCCGCCACCACCGCTGACACCACTCCCACCGCTGCCACCGCCGTCGCCACCGACGCCCCCACTTCCGCCACCACTCCCACTGCCACCACCGGTACCTCCACCGCCTCCACCACCTCCACCACTGCCTCCCCTGCCTCCACCTCCACCACTCTTGCCTCCCTTGCCCTTGGCGCTGCGGTGCCTCCCACTAGGAGCAGACATAGCCCCGACCTGCTCAGCACCAAGGAAGTCAACAGCAGCACCAGAAGTGACAGAGGGAGCAAGGGGGGAGGGGGAACAACCCTCAAAGAAGGGAGTGTGAGGAGTGCCACGAGCAGCACGGACAGCAACTATGCTAGTCTCAACTGCAAGGAGGTGCTTCTCGAGAAGGTCGACAGTAAGGTCCGCAGGGTCAAGAGCAAGAAAGTGGCCTCTGACTGCGCGAAGAGAGTCAGAGAGGCGGGTGACTATGAAGTAGAGAGTGATGTACATCAGGGGCGGGTTCTTGTCTAGGAACTCGGCTTTGAGGGCGGCGTGGTAGCGAGTGTCGCTAGTGCGAAGGTGGGTGATGAGGTCGTCGACTGTGGCAAAGGCTGACAGCTCGTTGAAAAGGTAGGGAAGTATTAGGCGACCGAGAGCAGATGTGGCAGGGGAAGAGTAACGAGCAATAATAGCGTCGTACAGGGCTTTAGCAGTCTTGTGCTGGCCGAAGTGAGCACATTCGCCTAACGGCATGTGGTTGCGAACGGCTAGGCGAGTAGCAGCGTCACGGGTAAGCCACTGTGAGCGAGTCGCACTGTTAGCAATGTCGGGAGGGGCGAGAGAGGCTCCGGACGTGTGGTCAAACAACGAAACGTTTTCTCTAAAATCGCTCTATAGGTACAGCTATAAGTCATCGAGCCACGTATCAAACTGGATCGGACAGCCCTCAGGATCGAATGAGAGAATGCTGAGGGTAGCCATAGCTAGCAGAGCTGGGTGGCGCATGACGAGCAGGGCAGTCACGCGTGCAGGGCAGGGGAGCCGCGCATGTAGGGCAACAGCGCGGAGCAGGGCAGGGCAGCTACGCGTGCAGGGCAACAGCGTGGAGCAGGGCAGGGCAGCCGCACATGCAGGGCAACAGCGCGGAGCAGGGCAGAGCAGCCGCACGTGCAAGGCAACAGCGCGGAGCAGGGTAGGGTAATCGCGCGTGCAGGGCAACAGCGGCAGCGCTCGGACAGCTCGTGGGTAGCCGGCGGAACGCAGGGCAGGCGCTCGCGGGCGGCGCAGGGCTGACGCGTGGGGCAGGGCAGGTGCGCGTGGGCTGCACGGGCTGCGCGCAGGCCTAGAGCGGGCTGTACGGGCCGCGCGCGGGCCTGGCGCGGGCTGCACGGGCTGCACGCGGACGGCGCGCGGGCTATACTAGCTGCGCGCGGCAGGGCAAGGCAGGGCAGAAAAATTGGCAAGAACAAAACTAAATGGTGGGCCCTAAAAAATAAATGGTCCTTAGGAAGGACCTGCTCTATTATGTTGTGAGAGATTACGGGGAATGAGAGAACTAGGAAGGAGTGGGATACAAGTGTGTAACATAACCTAAGGATTGTATCTCCTCTAAGGCTAGCCCCACAATAGCCTACGGAACATAAACATGCAATGTTTGACAAAGGCGAGCAATGATTTCCACTATTTATGCAATCTCAACTGCCGGATTTTGCGGATCTCGCTGCTCGCCATGATTGGCGTGCCGATGCAGAATCAGGGCGGTGATCCTCGCGTGCTGGCTCCGAATCTGACGCTCGCCACGCGCAGGGTCCCGCTCGCGACTTGCACGTGCAGAATTGCGGTCACGATCTGCACGTGCAGAATCACGATGATTGCGATATGCTTATGCAAGACCGCGATCATTGCGGTCCTGCGCCTGGATTGTGGGACCCTGGCGCGCGGGGGCGTTTTTGCCTGGCTGAGTCGGGTCGTTGGTTGCACGTGCAGCTCGCCCCTTGACATGAAAACCCGGGGGGGCACGCTCGTTACCGGGTCCTTCGGCTGTTACGACTAGTGAAATACTACTGTGCACTCCTAACCGCTGCTAAGTGAAGCACGCAGTATTGAGAACGAACACGAAGAGCCAGAGTTGACCTGAAGTGACCCGAAGGGTCGTACGGTTGCGAGAGGATCTGGACCGTCAGAGCAGACAGCATCAGGCAGCTGCAGGTTCAAGGGAATTGGCGGGAACAGTTTCGTAACTATTCGAGTTGAGAAAACTGAAACGAGAATAAATGAACTATGAATGAGGTGGGTACAAGTACTAACCCTAATTGGGTTGTACCCCCTATGGGATACCCTAATACAGCCTACACAAAAGTTTAAGCTATAATTTTCTGACACACCCCCATAGGCAAAGTGGGGGAGAACAGGGGGTCACAAGACCAGTCAAGCAAAGCAAAGCAAAGCTCAGGGTGGATCACAAAGTCACCACACATTCCGAGCACAAGTTCAAGGCCACAAGACCAGTTCACATGCATGAGTACATATATATATAAGGCGAGACAAGCAAGAGCATGTATACATATATATGTAACAGTACAAGTAAGGTCAAGAGGTGAGCAAGTGAGGCAAGACAGGGACAAGACCCAGCTGAGTGCAGAAGCGCTGATGATCACAAGGCGGAAGCGCCTTGGTGAAAACATCAGCAGTGTTGGCCTCAGAGGCCACGTACGCAAGCCGCAACTGTCCACGCTGCTGTAGCTCACGAGCAACGAAGTAGCGGAGAGCAATGTGCTTTGCTCTGTGCTCCAGTCGCTGCTCTCGACACAAGGCCAGCATGGCCTTGTTGTCTACGTACAGAACTGGAGGAGAACGAGGCGGCTGTCCGAGGTCAGTCAGCAGGTAGGTGAGCCAGCGAAGCTCCTGTGCAGCCATGGCCCCAGCGTAGATCTCAGCCTCACAACAGGAGCCGAGAACAGAAGACGAGCGAGTAGCCCGCCACGAGACAGAGCCGGAACCAAGGCTGAAGGTGTAACCCTGTGACGACCGCTGCGTAGCCTGGTCGTCAGCCCAAGAAGCGTCTGCGTGCCCAGTGAGGACCACTGGACTGCGCCCTCCAAGCACTAGCCCCATGCCCGACGTACTGCACAAGTAGCGCAACACCCTCTTCGCTGCAGCCATGTGCTCTGGTCGGTGTCTCCGAGGAGCAACATAGCGTGCGAGAATGCTAAGAGGGTATGCAAGGTCAGGTCGTGTGCAGGTCATCAGGTACATGAGGCAGCCAACAAGCTCTGGATACGGGCCACTCGACTCTACGGACTCATCCGAAGGCAGAGCTGAGAGCGAGTGGCGAGTAGGCAGAGGAGTGGCCTGAGGCGAGGAGTACGTGAAGCCGAAGCGCTGAAGGACCTGCTGCACCATGTGTGACTGAGTCAGGGTAATGGTGCGGCGTGCTCTGTCCCGGGTGATTTGCAAGCCAAGGTAGCTGCGCAGTTCACCCAGGTCTGTGCACGTGTGTCTCTTCTGCAGCTCCGACTTCACGTAGGCGAGTCCAGCAGTGTCAGCTGTGGCAAAGACCAAGTCATCGACGTACACGAGGATGTAGAACGGCGGCAGAGAAATGTCGGTGCGCAGAAACAGCGACGGGTTGGCAGTAGAAGGAGCAAACCCAAGAGCCGCAAGCATAGTCCTCAGTGTGTTGTGCCACTCACGTGGCGCCTGGCGGAGACCGTAGACTGGATGCCGGAGACTCCACTGGGTACTAGGAGGGAAAGACCCAGTGAAGCCAGGTGGGCGGCGCAGCCAGATCTCCTCGTGCAGGCTGCCCTGCAAGAAAGCTGTGCTGAAGTCGAGAGAGTGCAGCTCGTAGTCACGGTGAGCAGCAACGTGCAGCAGTACCCGAAGAGTGGTCATCTTTGGGGTGGGAGAGAAGGTCTGAAAGTAGTCAACTCCCTGCCACTGACTGAAGCCTCGAGCCATGTACCGTGCCTTGAAGACAGGCGGAGAACCCGGCGGTCGCTTCACCCTGAAGATCCACATGCCACTGACGATGTTCGCCCCAGGCGGGGGAACCTCGTCAACGTAGGTGCCTGTGGACTTATAGGAAGCCATCTCTGTGTCCATAGCTGCCTGCCATTGAGAGGAGTAGGGACCCTCTATCGCCTCCGCGTAGGAGCGCGGAGTCGGGATGTCAAGTGCATCCGGGTCTCCCTCAGAGGTAAGCAGTACAGACACGAGATGAGGTGAAGCAGCTGCCAGACACTGGAACTCCTCCTACCTGTCCTCAAGGACGTCCGTGCCAAGGACACACTCACCCCCGACGGACGGAGGACAGACAGACTCAGACTCAGCGACAAGACTAGCAGCGTAGTCTAGGCGACAGCGAGCAGCAAAGTCGACGAGCTCAGCAACTAGGGCAGACGTAGCAGTGGACTCGAAAGAAGGGTCAGTGACGACAGTAGCCAGGAGACGCGTGACAATAGGACTGGCAGCACGAAGAGAGTCCGACTTCGGGTCGGGAAGAGCAGGAAGAGAGGACTCAGGAGGAGAAGGCAAAGGGGCACGCAGAGGAGCAGTGGACGGACGCAGAGACATCCTGTGTGTGCCAGGGACAGGAGGAGGACGCTCACGCGAACCACGACCACCAGCACGAGCAGCACGGACAGGCGATGCAGGGCGAGACGCAGGCTCACGACGCTCAGCAAGACCTCCAGTAGGACCAGTGTAGGGAGAAGGAGCAGGCAAATGGGGAGTAGGCTGCAACTGTAACTGTGACGGGACAGGCTGTGGACACTCTAAAGAAGGAGGAGGACCAGTGGAAGGCGGAAGACCAAGAACCTGTTGCAGGAGTGGAACGAAGTACGGTCGAGGCCGCGCGCGACACCAGACACAGCAGGGATAGCACCAGCACCCCCAGCAGGAGTACCCGCTCCAGCAGCACCTCCAGCAGCTCCAGAACCTCCAGCAGTACCAGGAGTACCCCCAGCAGGACCGCCAGCAGTAGTTTCAGCTCCAACACCCTCAGCACCACCAGCTCCAATCGAGACCGCAAGCCCAGCAGCTCCAGTACTCCCAGTACGAGCACCTCCGGGACCCGCGACAGCAGCACCCTCAGTAGCTGAAGAACCTCCAGCACCAGCAGCACGGCTCCAGCGCCGGGCAAACCACTCGCGCAGCTCCTGTGGAGAGAGTGTCTCCCGCAGAGACGAAGCACCCGGAGAACCTCTAGGCGGAACACCTCCAAGCTCAGCACCCCCAGGCACAGCACACCCACGTGTAGCACCCCCAGACAAAGCACCCCCAGGCGTAGCACCCCCAGGCCCAGCACCCCCAGGCACAGCACCCCCAGGCTCTGCACCCCCAGGCTCAGCACCCCCAGGCTCATCACCCCCAGGCGCAGCACCCCCAGTCTCAGCACTCCCAGGCTCAGCAACCCCAGGCTCAGCACCCCCAGGCGCAGCACCCCCAGTCTCAGCACCCTTAGGCTCAGAACCCTCAGCAGCACCAGAGTCACCAGTTACCTCGACTGGCTCGACTGCGTCTACCTGGGACACACCTGAAGGGGCAGGACCCTGAGGGGGGAGGGGGTCTACCGGGGGGGGACCTGGTACAAGGAAGAGCGGGGGAGGGGGGAGGGACGGAGTGCGGTAGGGGAAGAGGCGGTAGTAGGGGACCGACTCATCAAACGTGACGTCATGGGAGGACAGAACACGGCGAGAGGTGGGGTGGTAGAACTGCCACCGAGGCGCGTCAGGGGGGAACCCCAGGAAGAC